CTATAACGAATTATTCGTTATACATTCTGCATAATTCGTTATAGCGTTAACGAAGATTCTTATAATGAAGTCCTGATCGGCTGGATCGGCAACTTCATTATATCGAGGTGTGACTGTATATTACGTGATACTTATTTTTAAGATTATATGATAAAATTATGTAATAAATTATTTTAATTATCTTTTATTGATATTGTAAATAAATTTGCTTATAATTTTATTTTAAGAATTTAATTATTTTAAATATTTAAAAAAATTTTAAAAAATTTTTATAATAGTTTTATGTTTTTTTAAATAAAATTAAAAAAAATATAATTAACTAATAATCTTAAAGGTAAATATAATTATTTATTATAAATAAAAATTAAATTTTTAAACTTATATTTCTTATTATCTATAGATCTCAAAAATATAAAAATACTATTATTTTAATAAATCTAAATGAAATGAATTTAATAAGCTAAATTATATTTTTTATTATTAGATAATAAATTATTTAAAAATTTAAAAATTAAAAATTGATATATATTGATTTTAAAAAAAAATTTATTTTAATTATAAAATTTAGTTTATATTAATATAAAATTTTTTATATTATATAATATTTAGTAATTTTATTATTATTATAAAATTTAATATAAATTATTTATTATCCTTTATTTATAATACTAAATATTATATTCAAATTCAAAAGCAATTATAAATTTTTTTTTAAAAAAAAAATCAAAAAAAAATTTTCTTTACAAAACATAATTTTATTATTTGTTATATTTTGATCTTAATGTATATATATAATCATTACTGGTAAATATAAAGATATTTTTATTGATTTATTATCAATTTTAACTAAAATCCATTAAATTTATATTGTAAATTTTAGAAATTTATTCTATTTTTATTAAATTCTATAATATATATTTTAATTTAATTAAGAAATTAAATAAAAATAAACAATATTTATTAAAATAAAATAATTAAAATATAATAATTTAAATAATTTTATTTTATATTAAATAATTTATAATTAGTATAAAAGTATTAAATCAAATTTTATGATTTTAATATATATTAAATTCTAATATAATAATTTTTTATTAGAAATCTTTTATAAAAAAAATAAAGATAAATATATAAATTATATTTAAATACAATAAAGATTAATTTTAATAAAATAATACTATTAAAGAAAAAAGTACTTTTATCAAATCTATTTTGAAAATTTTTTTTTAAAAATATATAAAATATATAAAATTTTAATAATTCTATTTTTTTAATATTAAAAATGTTAATATTATTAAAATCTAGAAATTATACTTTAGTGCAAATTGATGAATTACTAATTAAATTATATTTTGACAGATATAATTAATATCAAATTGACATAATTAAATTTTAATACTAACAAAATTAATTAGTATTAAAGTATACTAGAAATTACTAATAGAACTATTAATATATTAATAATAAAAAAAAGCAAATATTTTTCAACAAAAATTTGTAGTTTATATAATATTATTAACATAAATAAGATATTCAAAAGTATTTTGATTTTAATTTTAATTTTTAAACTTTTATTATAAAATTTTAAAAAACCTACATTTTATTTATATTAGCATTTTTTTTTTCTTAAAAAAGATCATTTAAAATTAATGATATTTTAAAATTTATAAACTTAAAAACCCAAGTAAAATGAATTTATAATAAATATTAAGTATTTAAAAAATAGTTTTAATAAATTAAATCATTTAACTAAAATACTAAAAATTTTTTATAAAAGATGTTAATAATGATGATACTAAATGATGATGCTATATTAAAACTAATTTTAAAGATTGATTTTTTAAATAGAATATGTAACATATACACATGATCTGCATTAATAATTAGATGCCAACTTGTTGAAAAGTAAAAAAATTTTTTTTTTTTTTTTTTGTTAATATGAATGGTATATTGTTTTAAATGAATCCAAATACACAAAACTTATATTACAGATTATCATAATTCAGAAGAAAATATATATATATATATATTTTTACTTGGTACAGATTTTTATTATGTGCGATTAAGCAAGCAATCAGCCCCAGATTTAATTCCAACTCTTTTTGTCAAATTAAATGCTAAACTTTAATAGAAAGGCGCCGAAATATGAATTTTCATTGTTCTCACTATATTAAAAATTGAAATTGAAACCCCAACTTTGTGATAGTGACAAGTAATTTTATGCACCCATTGAAATTAAAAGAAATTAAATACCCAAGAATTTGAAACCAAAAATGAAAAGTCAATATTATAGTTTTGCACGGACTTTATTTATAATAAACAAATAATAATGAAGCAATTTAGCCGAGTTGTGATCATAATTCAACTAGCGCCGATTGTAAAATATCTTTTTTCTCCTAAAATTAAAAATAAAAACAAAAATATTTTCGAACAATCCAATTCGAACCTGACTTATTCCATTAATTCTTGGAACATAATTCTAAATTTGGTTTATAGTTAAAAATATGTATATATATATATATATAAATAAATAAAATAAATTGGCCGTTTCTTTGTTTATGCATCAAAAGTCTGTTTTTTGCTTATATATATATTTTGAAGGGAGGTAACAATCAATAAATACAAACTTGGATTATGAACTATAAAATACAATCTCTTTTGTTTTTTTGCTTGACTACATTGCGCCATGTGTGCACATGCGCCAATCTATCGAAATCTTATCCGGGCCGCACAATGTTTGGTGAATTAACTGGAACAAAGAAATATCAAAATCTAATTTTGGTTTAATTTATAATATGACAACCAAAATGCACGCCTAATTAACTGTCAAACAGAAAAAAAAACACCCAACATTTGATCGAAAATATCATGTGTCCGGTAGCCAATGGTAATTGTAAATTCCAGAACCGGCAAATTTTTGATGTACCTACATGGCATATAATCAAAAAAAGAGATCATTTTGATAATCATTTTTTTAATTTCAAAATTAATGGAAATGAAATAGATCAATCTAGATTTTAATAGAATCCCCAAATATTCGTTAAACAACCAACCAATACAATGAATGATATCATAAAAAGAATTATGATAGACCAAAGAATTTAATGTTTTGTTTATTATGTCAAATTCAAATTTTTAACGTTAATTTGATTTTACTCGAGCTGTTACATATTTGGAATGGAGCAAGTTTAATAAAATATTAACGTTAATGGTTATTAAAAGTTATATGTAGCCGGCAAAATTCTTTAAAAAAAAAAAAACGGTAAAAATTCTTCCCGGAAATTTAGCCGGTAACACGAACATTTGACGCGGTTAACATAAAAAAAAAGATAATTTAATATTATTAGGTGCCATTCAACCAATTTTTTATTGCCAATTCATTAGATTTTACGAATCCTTTTTTTTTTGTTGTCGTGTAAATTAATTATCTATAAATATTATCATTTTTGTTTTTTTTTTTTTTTTGTTAAACGGGAGTTTACAACATTTATGTTTCGAACTATATATGAATTATTATTACTTTTGTTTATAATTTTTTGTGTCTAAAAAGAAGAGAGATAAATAAATTTATACAAATTTTTCGTGATTTTGAAATTATTTTTTTTTTTTTATAAAAAATCTATGGTACCGAAAAGAAAATTTCCTCTATATGTGTGATTTGTTTTTTTTTTTTTTTTTGAATGGAATTGAAGAACAATTAAGAATACGAGGAACGAAAGATCCAAATATCAAAATTAAAAAAATTATGTGAGATTAAAGTATGAAATAAACGACGAATTATTTTTACCGTCAACCTGATAGAATATACGCGAAAAACGCGTATTATTACCCAAATATTCTTAAAATGTAAAAGTGTGAATTGAATTTGTTAATTTGAATCCTCTATGAAAAAGAAAAAATTAAAAGTTCTAAATGCTTAAAATCTTCTGATCGACCAATGAAAAAAAAAAACGATGCTGAATATTAAAGAAATTCTCTCTTCGAAACGTAATTAATATATATACGATGCGATTATGCGATTAATGATTGAAAATAATATATATATATATATAAAAAAAAAAAAGAGAAAAAAACGCGGGAAAGTGAAAATATTTTCATGTAAGGGTAATTTTTTTTCTGTTATAATTTAGCATACAATCTCTTTTTTGTGCATTTTTTATGAATGAAATTATGTGAAATATCTTACAAGATGGGAGGGGGTTTTGTATATATTTTAATATCGGCGTAATATTAAAAAGGGATATGTAAAAAAATAATCATAATTGAATGTTTGTAAATGTTGAGCTTATATGAATTTAAAACTAATTCGGGGGGAGGGTATAATTTTTTTTTAAAAAAAACAAAGGGATCCCTTTTCCTGCCTGGCCTTTCTATTTTTTTTTTTTTTTTTTTTTGATCAAAAAGGAAAATAAAACGAGGATGAAACAAATGTTCGAATATATATATATATTTTTTTTTTTAAAAAAAAAAAATCATATCGTCCGGCAATACGATTTAAAAGAAAAAACGATTTTTTTCTTTTCGTGTGAAAATATGTATCTTTATTTTATATTCGTTATTAATGTTGAAATTTAAGCCATTCTTATGGAGGAGGCAAAATATAAATCACGTTCGTTATGGTTGGTAGGTAATGACAATGGAGCCTCAACGGGAGATGGATAGCCGAATTTGTAAGGATCATTATTGTTCTCTTTAACGACTGGCTTAAAGGCGGTAATACGGGTGCTGGATGTTAAGCTAATGTCCAATGGCTGTTGTAAGTATAAACAGCTAATGGCCGGAAGAACATAATTGCCGATCAAAGGATATCCTGCATTTTGCTGATAATGAAAATCTGCAGGAATTTCTGGTTTATAGCAATCCGTAGGAGTAGGAGGACTTGGAGGGCTTGGAGGTCCGTAGCTTTGGGTATTACATCCGCGGGACATCGTGATGGGGATTGAATTTGGTTGTTTACGTGGTTCAAATGCTCTAAAAACGTAAATATAATGGAGATCCCCCATAAAAATTGAAGAAAGGAAAAAAAATGTTATGCAGTGTTACCAAAATACAATAGCGAAAAGAATAATAAGAGAAAAAAATAAAGTTTGGGAGAGTTTTATTTGTCACAAAGGTATCGAACATAAAAGGGAGGTAACTAAATATTATTTTAAAATTCAATATAAAAAATAAATATTACTCACGTATTATATTCCTTCCAATGGGGATCGTGTGATTTTTGATGTCTCGTAAGTGTTGTTCGTCTTGTAAATGTCTTTCCGCATCCTGAATGTGAGCAAACATAAGGTCTTTTGCCTGTATGTGTCCTTCTATGCCTGGCCAATGATGAAGACTGAATTGATGAATTGATTGAACGAAAGTTTAATAAAAGTCAAAAAAAAAAAAAAGTAAATAAAAAACAAAAAAATTCACTTTATTGTATAATACTTACATCACTGAATGACTTGCTACAATTTGTATATTCACAAATGTGAGGCCTTTCACCTGTATGAGTCCGATAATGAACCGTCAAAGCGGAACGTTGTATAAATTGTTTTCCACATCCTTGCCATTCACAATGGTAAGGTCTTTCTCCTGTGTGGATTCGTCGATGTCGAGCAAGGTCGGACCTACGTGAAAATGCCTTCCCGCAAGCAGGCCAAGAACATTCGTATGGGCGGTCATTATCTACGATTGGTTCCGAATCAGTAATTGATTCAATTGTTGTGTTTGAAGGAGATGGACTGGTAGGTCCGCGAAGTTCATCATTTGTGTTTAAAAGTGTTTTTATATCCATTGGAAAAACGAATGATGTGTGTCGTAAACGTAATTTGGAATTAAAATGTCCTTGTGTGTTGGAACGTAAAAAAAAAAAGGAAAGGTGATAAAAAAATGATAATTTTTTTTTGAAGTGGGAATGTAACGTCTCGTTTTAAAGAAACAATAATGAAACAAAAAACGTCAATGATAACAATCAAAGTTACAATATCAAATATATATAAATGTAGATATATTATGTTTGAAATAAAGAAAGTACTTTGAAGTCGTTGACGTTACTGCTTAACACACAAAGCGGTGAACGAAGAGAACTGACAGTAAAATCAACGAAGAAAGGGTCATAAAAAATATTTCAAGGCTTATATATTAGGAAATTTTGATTTTTTTTTTATAAAAATACTGTTTTTTTTTTTGTGAAGCAAAAGTTGTTGTTGTTGCAAACAGGCAGTTTGCAGAAAAGGTTCTAATAAACGTGGAACGACAGCAAAAAAATTGATATTATTATATATATAAAAGATTACAAGACTAACGAAAATTATAATTAACCTATTTAATTTACTTTAATGATTATATTATATATTAATATTATATATACACACACACATAATATAAATTATAAAATAAAAAAAAAATAAATATAAAAAAAAAAAAAAAAATTTTAGCTGTTATTTAATTTGATGGATGCCAATATGTAAATACAATTGCTTTTGCTTACATTAGCTTATTAGTAAGCTAATCGATTATGGTAAACCCGGTGTAACGAAATTATAAGAAACCCATCAAGAAAATTTAAAATAGGAAACAAAAAAATAAAGTAAAAAAATTGGTGGTACCTTGTATTGTAAAATTTTTTCTTAAGCGCCACAAAAGGCGCAGTAAATTTTGCTTCCAAATTTCTATAACAAACAAATTAATTGAATTTCAAAAAAAAAAAATTTATTTATATTATTTATTTTGTATTATTGAAGTCAGTTTTTGTCCGATGGTAGGTCTTTAAGCGGTTAGAGATTTGAGATATTATCTGATTGGCGATGGATATATAACTAAAACCATATGATCATGTGACTGTTCATTGTTCATTTTCATTTAAGGTTTTCGAGAAATTACATCATGAAGCTGTGCAGGAAATGCAAGATTTAATATAACCAAACAACACATGAATTTAAAACAAAACAAATAAACCACTTGAAACAATCAAATGATAATAAAATAACATCATTGAGAATTACATAAAGATACATTGATTACGTGGATGGGATAAAATTAAAAAGGTCTTTTGACAGCTTCGTTGTGCACCGACAACATTAATATAATTGCGCATATATGCACGCATACCCTTATCACACACTTTGGCCAATAAACGAACAAACAATGAATCGACGAAACATATCAAGATATATATCGTACGCGACCACTATTTGCAAAATATCACATTTTCTTAATACGGATCAATCAAACCTGGAAATGGAAAGGAACCTCCGTGAAAACACGTCGCGGAAGATTAAAGATATCGATTAACCTGATACGATTGAATTTTAAAGTAATGTCAAACTTTTCTGTTGTATTGAATTCATATTACGTAAACCGACTAACGTTCGTTTTAGAAGGTACACCGTGTTGAAATACTGTAATTAGATAGGATAACCGAAGATCCGAAAGTAATATCGGTAAAACCCTCGTGTTGCATGATAAAGAGGATTCACAACTCCATTTATCAACCTTAACCCGTTGAAAAAAAAGAAGTGGAGGGGTTCATAATAAAATTCAATTTCCGATATGCTTGGTTATCGGATGTTTATTATGTCATGTTTGCAACGGTTGATTACGTAAATATGTCAAATTATTATTATTATTTTTTTTTTGTGTCAGGTTCTTTCGATAAATTTTTTACCAACCAAAAACTTGAGAATATTTCTGGTAAGCCGTTGGTTAACTTTTATCAGGTATATTTCCCCCTGCATAATTTAATCTTGTAATAAATTATCGCCATTGTTCATAAAATTTGTCATACCTTTTTAAGTTCAAGAATGACATTTAAAATGGAAAGATTTGTAAAGGATACGCTAAACCTTTCCAAGAAGAAATATTTGTAAGTGTTAACAAACAAGGAATAAATAATCCCACGTTTTGCTGTTTAAAAAAATTTTTTTTTAATTGTGCTCGCGTGGCTAAAATACTCATTCCCGCCAAAAAAAAATCCGACTGTCGTGCAAATTGGATAAAAAAGGGAATTCCGCCTATACGTAGATTCTTAGAGTTTTTTTACTCGACAAATATTTGATTTTGATTTCGTAAGCGCATCTTATTACATACATTCTGATTTGGAAACCACAGTCATTCATGAAAAAAAAAAAAAAAATTTCAACCTGTCAAATAAATATCGCTTAAATTGTCAACTCATAAATTTATGTAATTACTAAGCGATATATATAAAAATATCCGATATGTAAAAATATTATTGTTTATTTATTTATTTATTTATTTATTTGTATATACATCAAAATAAGGTTTGTCTCCAATCAAGAATGTCCTTTACTTTTTCTAATAGAAAAAAGCGAAAATGGTAATTTACCAAAATTAGATAATTTACGATATTTAATCAACAATGGTTTTATAAATTGAAGTAGCTGTCAACAGCTTTCAAGCCACCCGGCGGACAGATGAAACGTTACTCAAAATGATCTATTATTTGGATAAAAAAATCGTGTTTTTAGAGATTGGGTTATTTTTTTTTTTTTTTTAAAAAAAAAAAAAAAAAAAAAAAAAAAAAAAAAAAGATGGCGTGTATAAGGTCATGTCAAAAAAAGATTCAAGGGGCACATGTTGTGACACAATTGCTACTATAAAGTATATTACATATAGTATGAGTAAGCCAATCTAGAACTGATTTGTTAAGCTTCAAAAAAATACCAATTAATTACATATATGCTAACGCTATCTGTTTAGCATACAGAATTAATACATTGTTACACAGTTCATTTCCTTTTCCTATTCGTTGCTCCACAATTTTTCTTTCTTCTTTCTTACCGATTTGTTACCATGCGAACAGACCGTTTTAGTTTTTTAATCCAGGAAAAAAAAAAATTATTAATAACGATTAAAGGCTACTTAATCTCTTGTTTATGACCAATTAAGCTTTCATCATTATTTGAAAAAGTTTAATCACTTTCTAATGCATAAAATAAAGACGAGCATTACGTACGATGCACGTTACGCTGAAATCGAATGAATGACATGCATTTTGCTTTGTTATAATATTATCCCCCACAGAACAACAAGTTATGCCCCCAAAATTGCTTCGCCTGCTTTTACATTTGCTTACATTTTGAACTAAAAGAAAATGGTACTCGATTTGTCACTTTAGAATTGAGATGATGTAACGGTTCATGATACACCGCATGTACCATGTATTGTCAAGAGAAAAGATTATTTTACTTTTATTTTTATTTTTTTAAAAAACATGAACGTCAGATTTGCAATTGTCTTTTTTCTCTTTCATATGTAGAAAGAAGATAGTTTGTTAATCGGAAAAAAAAAAAAAAAAAAAAAAAGGTGCCAGTCTTTGGGGGTTTTCAAAGTAAAGATCCACGCCACAACACGGGATAATGTAAAGTGATGTATTACAAGATTGAGACATAATCCTCTAATATCATTGGCGTACAATGCAGGAGGCAAAGACACGTTATTTTATTTTTTCTTCCTTCCTTTTTTAATTTATTGATTTTTAATTTTTTTTTGTATATTAAATTATTAAATGTGGGGTAATAATAAATCTAAAAATCGTTGTAACAAAGATTCGGAACTACAATGAACCTCATTCGAGATGATTTGATTGGATTGGATTATCTCATGAACCAACTGAATGACGGTGAATTATGAATTATAAATTGATGGAGAAGGACAGACATTGCATTATAAATAAATATCTCGGATGAATTATGCGTCGTTGTTGATAATTCATTCCATCGTGTTACTGTTTGTTTGCCTTATACATCGGCTGCGGAAAAGCAAAATTCTAATTTGACAATAATTAAACGTTACACGCGTGATGACTTCATGTAAAAATATCTCATGTATTAAACTGTGCAATGATTATCAGGTTTCAGTTTATTGTCAAGACGTATAGAGGAAAGGTGTAAAAAGACACATTCGCATTCGCAAAAGTCAAGGAGCGAATCAGGAAGAAAAGAAAAAAAAAAAAACGGATCAAACAAAAAAAACCACACTTTAAAGGATGATATCCTTCTTCTCCCCGTGGTATGTACATCATTTCTCAGTAGCGCGGGTATTACGACCTTGAGTACGAGGGGGTTCTCCGATGCGTTGAAACTGTTCTAATTTGGTTTCCTCTTCCGGATCGATTTCTTGATACATCTCCTCGTTCCTAACATCCTCTGGGGTGATACGAAGAGCTTTTCCCGTACGTTTTTTGTGAATTTCTGAAGCCTTGCGAGCCGATTCTATCCGAGCTTCCATACTCCTATCCTATTTTTCAAGAAGAAATGGTTACTATTGGCGGACAATGTAGAGAACAAAAGGAAAGCTGAAAATTTTACCCCTCGATGGCTGGCAGCAATGTATGCTCTTTCCTGATTCTCTGTAATAAAAAATACATTATCAAAAAACTTTTTGAAAACGACCAATATTTATAGATTTTTACTATACCTTCATGAGTTCTTTCTTGATTACGTTTATGAAGGCTTGTCATTTCGTTGTCGCTTCAGAGTAAAGGAGGTTATAATTGGGTGGGCTTTTCTTAAGTAAACAGAGCGAAGTAGGTTTGTTTTTTTATTTTATTTATTTAACAAAAGAAAAATTGCTGAATATTTATTTGTTTTTGACATTTACGACCAAATAATTTGATTTGTTTGAAGAAAAGATTAGTTATTGATAATAGGTCAAATCCATTAGTTAGGATTTTTTTTTTTTTGTTTGACCTAATCATATTTTGTAATACCATCGTCATTCTGATGTCTAAGTGATGTACTTTGATGTATTTACTCCATTTCCCAATGATGTATAATTGACGTTGACTGATCGTTATCGCGCTAAACCCTTCTCTGCGCAATCTTTTTTTTCATTGAATTTGGGGTGGGGAAATCATTCAACATTAAATAAACGTCACCGATCCATACATTTGATTTCGTAGTCAGCGGTTAGGAATTATTCCCGGAATTATTTCATTATTTTAATCTATAGTTAATTCTGCCCATCCAAATTTGTTATCGAATATGTTTGTGTTACATCGAACGGGTCTTTCGCGTTTGTTTTTATTTTATTCTTATTTTTATTTGATTTTATTTTACCTTTCATATCTTTGGATAAAGATTATCATTTTGCTTCCTTCATTTTTATAAAATGAATGAACTATCGAATGGTCTTTTTTTGTTTTTTTTCTTTCAGCGAGAAGGTAAGTAAGGCTTCACGTTTGTACTAATCATTATGAGACGAACAAGTATAAATAATATCTTTATTGAGGTGAATAATGGGGAATTACGGTATCTAATCTAATATAGTTCTAATATACTCTAGTATAATTGGACTCTCGAATTTTTAATTTTTATTAATCTTGTAATGAGTACGTACGTATATATGAACGGGATGATGTCAATTCATGAAATTACGGTTAAAGAAATATTGCTTGAATCTCCTTTAACACTTTTTGACTTAAAATATTTTGTTTTTTTTTTGGTTTTTTTTTATTATCGTGATGTAAAAAAAAAAAAAATAAAAATAAAAAAAAAAAAACTATCCGAAGTAATATGTGATTTTATGGTGATTTGTACATCAAATTAAGTTTAAACTCCAAAATTTAACGTTTAATAGCCGTGTGTTGCTTATTTAAATTTTTTTTTTTTTTTTTTTTTTTTTTTCAGATTTTACTGAAGTGAACTAATAAAATACCTAATCAAAACTAAAAATTCCAATATAAGCCGTGGTATATAAATATATAAAACCCATATAAAAAAATGTTTTGGAGACTCGGCTTAAACCATTCCGCAATTGACGGACTTCTTGATAAGGAAGATCTAACCTTGGAGGAATTATTGGACGAAGATGATTTACTTCAAGAATGCAAAGCTCACAATAATAAACTGATTGAATAGTATCCTTTTATCATTACTCTATTTTTAAAAATTTGGCTTTTTTTTTTCGAAAAAAAAAAAAAAAAACTCTTTAGAAGTAGAGGTTTAATTAATTCTCGAAAAATTTTTTTTTTTTTTAAAAAAAAAAATTTTTTATTTTATTATCTTTAATTCCCTTTTCTATATAGCCTTCGTGATCCCGTAATTTTGTCACAATTGCTTAATTATATAATTCGTGATGATTTGGATGAGAGACAAAGATTCAAGTAAATACGTGCTTTACGAATTATTTTATATATACGTATTTAAATTATTCATTTATTTTATTTAATCCATCAAGATATCCATATATTGCATGCGAGGTTCTTTCCTGTGAAATTTGGGCTATTTGTGAGGCCGTCATCGATAATGCAGATTTGCTTAATTCGTTTTGGCAATTCTTAGACAGTCCTCCACCATTAAATCCCTTACAAGCAGGTCATTTTACAAAAGTTAATGTAGTATTCATGCAGAAAAAGATGAACGAGGTAATTAGTTTAGGAAGAATTAAATTTTGGTAATCATCATCATTTTTTTCACTCACACCATTTTTTTGATTCAAAGATGGTTAAATTCATTCAATCAATTCCTAATGTCGTTAAAAAAATGTTGAATCATTTGGAGACCTCAGCTATTGTGGAATTATTGCTTAAATTAATTAGTGTCGAGGAGTACCCGGAAGGTGCTGGGGTTATTGATGTTAGTGGTAAATCGTATCAAATTGATGTTAGTGCTATGTAATATATATCTCATATCTTAACGATTATGGAATTGTCGTCATTTATTTATTGAATATATAGTGGTTGAATTCTGAAGGACTTGTTGATGCACTAATTTCACGGCTGGACCCGAATTTTGATCCTGATGTAAAGGAAAAAAATTTAATTTATATATATACACCCGTGATTGATTCTTGTGGCACGGTTTAAAAATTATTATGTAATTTTTAGGTTCATTCAACTGTTGCTCAAGTTCTAATCGATCTTGTTGCCATTTCTCAATCGAGTAATCCTGAGCAAGGTGGTGTCGGTCCAAATGCTCTGAGTAAAGAACTTATCAGGTGCGCATAATTAAGTTGTTTATTGTTGTGAGATTTTAACGATCTATGCAACGCGGAAAATTTTTTTTTAATGATAATTATAAAATTTAAGTGAAAAAACTGTAACACGGCTTGTCGATTATATGCTTGACCCAGTAGCTCCAAATTCAACTTCTACATTAACAAATGGTATAAGTATATTTATTCAAATTATTCAAAAGAATAATAGGTATGCGGGAAGCTCATTTTATTTTTATCATTAATAGAATTCATTAAATTTATTAACCACGTTGAATTCGTAAATATAGCGACTATCATGAAGATTCAATGTTACCTTCCCAACTTCAACAGCATCCAGTGGTTGATTTAAGCGATATGTTAAGAGTCTTGGCTAATCGAATTGGGGAGTTTAAGGATTTATTGGAAAGTCCTAAATCAGTGGTATTGTTATCAAAATCTTATCTCGAAGAAGTTTTTCCATTTTGGATAGTTCTAAAAATAATTATTATACGTATTAAATTCAAATTAGTCGGGTCAAATCGAAACAACGATAGGTAAAATTGTTCCACTTGGATTTGAAAGATTCAGGATTTGCGAACTTCTTGCAGAATTATTACATTGTTCAAATATGAGCTTGCTCAATACTGTTCAGCATGATACATCTACCAACGGGTTTTTCGAATTAAAACGCGTAGAAGATTACAATGACTACGGACAAGTACTGGATTCAAATATTTCTAATGAAAATTATCAAGCTCAAAAAGTTGACGAATCTCAAACAGCAATGGATATTCAAGGAAATGAAGATACAAAGCAAAAGGATTCACAACAGGAAGAAATATCTGTGGAACAAACCGCAAAACCTGTTTCTTCACCGATATTAATGGATATTGTTGAAGAATCACGGGAATCATCGGGATCAGAATATGCCACACCAACTGACATTTCTAATGGACCGGTATCTTCAGAGTTGCCGGTAGGCGATATATTAAAGTTCAAATTTGTTGAGCACAAAATTATACCAACATGCCTGGTAATATTTTTTTTTTTTAAAAAAAAAAAATATTATTTCAATATTATAGTTAAAAATTATGTAATATTAATTCTTTGATCATTATTAAGGATTTATTCTTTAATTTTAAATGGAATAATTTCCTGCATACTGTGGTTTACGATATGATCACTCAAATATTTAATGGAAGAATGGATATGGGGTATAATAAGACACTGGCAATTTCTGTAAATATTATATTTAATTTTTCCAAATAGTTTATAATATTATGTTAACAACCTTAATTCTCTTTAAAGGTTTTCACCGATGGACAGCTTACCAAACGTATTACGATGTCACAAAGACTAAACGATAGTGAAGTGTATGGGGGTTTCTTTTTTTTTTTTTTTTTGAATGCGTGCTATTTAATTCATTCTGATAATGAATTATTGTTGTTTCTGGTATCCGTACGTTAGTGAAAAACCAAAGGGCGTTAGGTTAGGTTATATGGGACATTTAACCTTTATCGCAGAAGAAGTAGTTAAATTGTTGGATAATTATGCGGTAGAAATCGGAGAGAAAGTGATAGGTAGTTGATTGTTGATTATGTTCATAATGAATCATTTAATTCTTTTCGTTAAACGATAACTTTGTTACATTGCGATATTATTGCAGATTATATTGCGGCAGAAGATTGGCAGGAATATGTATCTAAAACATTATTTGAGACAAGAAAGCGTGATCGTGAACCATTAGGTGGCCATCGTCCAAATACTCATGATAGCATGTCTCCTAGTCGCGAAGAAAGTGATGATGATGATGATGATGATACTATTGAAACTGTCGAAGGCGGTGACATGGCAAGCGATCAGGTTTGTAACTTTTTTTTTTTTTGTTTATTGTATAAACTTGACTTTTCATATATATAGATTCCTTATAACGAAAATTAAAAAAATTTATAGTTTGCGCGGTATTTATGTCAACAAATTACGAATGATTTACCGGATAAATTTGGTTCATCAGATGAAGATGATAGTGAGGATGATGAAGGGTGGATTGGGTTGGTTTAAATTTTATAATATTAATCGTTTAATGGATCTCAGATATTATTGATCTCCTTACCTTTAATAAATTATGTTACTTAGTGATGATTTTGACAGAGATGACCTTGATATGAATATGAGGGGACCTTTCGCGAATCCTAACATGCTTGAGGTATTAAATATATCTGTCTTTTTGTATTTTCAAAATTTTATTTACCGATATATTTCGTATAGGGTGATCCTTTCGAAAATCGCAGATCATCTCTAGATGAAGAATTTAGAGGTGATAGTGATGATGAGGTAGATATTATTATTTGATTTTAACGTTTCGATTTCTTAACGAAACTTTTTTTAACTTTCTTGAATTCATCATACATTAGGATAATCCTAGCCAATGGCATTCTAGTTTGCAGGAAAATAAGCAACTTCTTACCGTTGCAGATTGGACAGCGGATTTTCGATCAACCTTTAAATCCTCCGATACAATACAAACTTCAGATTCGACATCATTAGCAACTATCACCGCAATTATAACTCCGAATACAAGTGAACCATCCATAGAAATTTCTTCAAATTCGAAACCCCCCATCACAAATATTCAAGAATCCAGTAATTCGTTGAACAATATCAAAGAAGTTCCCGAAAAAGGTTCGATTTTAGAGGAATTAACAACTGCGCAATCAAATGTTGTTTCGGTTATCGATAATCCATACAAGCAAGAATCAACGGATAAATTACGTGTTGAAGGAGAAAAACTTATGAACTTTGATAAAATGGAGAACGTTAGTGTAAAGACTGTTGATAATAATCATAAAGATGTACAGAAACCAAACGAGAAAATCCAAGATGATATGAAATCACTTAGTTAAATATGCTTAATGATTTAGGGATAGATTTTATTTGGAATCAAAAAAAATTCACCTGTCAATACGAAAAATAACAAAAGATTATGAACATCTTTTGTATTCACATGATTTCTCGGTGGCATTCCAATTATTTATTTTTAAAAATTGTCCAAAATTGAATAGAATCAATATGGCAGTATTGAGCATTTGGTCAATTTTGGACAGTTTGGAACAGTTTGGGACAGGTTTTGAACAGTTTTTATTATATTCAAAATTCTGTCCAAAAATATTTAACATCAAAAAAATGTATTTAAAACCTATCACTGAATTATGGTTCTTTGAAACAATTGTATTTCATGCATTCTTTGTAATTATCCATATTTTAAATTATAGTTTTGCATTACAAATAAATTCTTTTAAATTAAAAGTATCAAATCTTTTTATTATTATAGTTTAAAGAAAAATTATTGCTTAAAACTAATATTATTGATTATTTATTGTATAGCATAATTTAAAAGTAATAATTATTATAAAAAATTAATATTTAATTAAAAATAAATTAAATAATATTTTACTATTCTAATTAGTTTAAAGATAAATGATTTATTATTTATTATTTATATAATAGTTATGCTTTGACATAAATTAACAAATACTAATTAAATTGTATTTTGTTAGGCATAATTATTTTATTAATAAATGTCAAAATATAATAATAGTAAATAAATAATAATATAAAAAAAAATAAAAAATCTATATTAAAAATTTAATAAATATAAATCTTTTTAATTCTTTAAATTCAAACTATTTATTTAAAAATTTTATATAATTATCCTTATATATTAGATTAAACTTTAAATATTAAATTATATTTTAATTTGAAAATTTTGTAAATTATATACAACTAAATATTATATGTTAGGATATTCTATTTGAAATAGTAAAAAAAAAAAATTTTATAAAGTAAAAATATAAATCATTTTTATGATATTATTTCATAGATTTGTTAGTAAAATTTTAATATACAAATCATAATTTTAATATTTAAAGAAGTAATTTTTTTTTATACTTTTAACATATTTTTTTTGATAAAGATAATTTTTATTAAAATTGTATAAATAAATATTAATTAATATTATTATTTAATATAATAAATTAATAAATTATTTTAATTTTTATATATTTTTATATGGAAATTTTTTAGTAGATATAATGTATATGTAATATAGATCATGTATATATATTTTAATTAAATTTAATATTTAAATTAAATATTTAAATATATAAATTATAAAATTTAATTATAATATTTAAAAAGTAATGTTATTTATTTAATTAAAATTTTAATTAATTATTTAATGATTTAATTAATCAAATTTAAGTAGATAATAGATTTAAATTTAATTTAATTTAATATAAAAATTTTATTTTAAATTTTTATATTTTTAAAATATTTAAGAAATATAATATATACATAAAAATGATAAATAAAATTCATATATTATATATAAAAATTTTTTATATCTTCAAAAATTATATTGATTTTTTTTTATTATATTATAACTGCTTTAGAATGATTTAGATTCCTAATTTTATATTTTTAATCAAATTTAAAATTATTGATTCTAATATATTTTAAAATAATATAAATATAATTGTAAAAATATTATATCTTTATTGTAAAATATATTAAATATTTTATACTAAAATAAAAGCTATTTATTTTAAGTAATATATATAGTCTTACATATTTTGTTTAATTTTAAAATAATGATATTACTACCAGTTTACAATTTTTTATATAGTTACTAATCAGATTAGAAAAAAATAAAATGATTAAAAGCAACTATTTTTCTTGTTATCATGTCTAATATATTTAAATATCAAATAAAATAATTTAAAATTGATATAAAATTAATTAATAATAGGAGAATAATAGTTAACTAAGCCTTTTTTAATTTAGTAATACATTATTGTAAGTATATTTAAAATTTGTCTAACTTGTCATTAGTGTCATTATTATTTTTGAGATTAATTATACCACATTTAAAAAATAATTAATCTATTATTATCAAACATAGATTAAAAAAGAACTGATTTGTATTTTATGTGAATTTAAAATTTATGCTTGATATATAAAATAATTTAATAGTGATATTTGGTAATAGGTATTTTGCAAAAGTATTTACTAATAAATTAGACTTAATTATCTTTAAATATTTAAAATTTGTGTAAATGCAACTTTAATTAAATATTTTTAGAGTTGTAAAATTTTTTTCAATAAATTAACATAATTATTTAATGATAAAATATATATATAAATTAATAAATAATAATTTTTTATTATTTTTTTAGTCAGTAAAAGCATTTAATATAAGTAAATAAAGAATAAATATTATATAAAAAAATCATTTTAAATCTGATTCTTTTTAACTCAATTAAATATTACAATTAATACTAATAATCATGAATATTCTGATAATAAAAATATTAAAAATCTTTCTTCAAATAAAAATAAAATAAAAATATTTATTTAAATTATAAGAGAAATTAAATTATTTGAAAAAATTTGATAAATATTTAAAAGGATTAGTAAAAATACTAAAAGTAAAATTTTTAATAATTTTGATATATAATCTGAGAATGATGAAAAATCTATAACAATTAATAATTTATTTATCTTATAATTAGATTTTAATATAAAATAAAATTTAAAATTACTTCAAAAGTTTCTTTTAAATAATAATATTTAAAATTATTATTTTGATATTTTTGTAAAATTAAAACTTTTTTTTTATTTTTTTTAAAAATTGTAATAATAAATAAATAAAAATAATTTGACTATATAATAAATTTATAGATTTTTTTTTTAAAAAAAAATTGATTAATTGGTCATTTAATTCAAAATCTTTATAACTTTAAAGAATTTAAGTTAATAAATTAAATAGTTAAATTTTGATTTATATATTTAATATAAATTAAAATAGCATAATTATGTAATATCTATTAAATTTATTAATATTAAAATAATCAAAGTATACATAGTTATACTTATATTACTTAGGAAAAT